ATACCCGATTGATTTTCTTTGCTTTACATATTGAAGTCATAATATCTCAATTTGCTAAGTGTAAATATGAGGATTAAATGTGCACGAACTTTTCTAGACAATATACACTGTATATTGTCTAGAGTTCATTTTGGTTTGGAAGTTTTTTGATATTGTTGGAAGAAAGCAACGCAACACTTGACAAGATATGTGTAAGACATATCTTGGCAAGTGTTTTCGGGAAAGTGGTTTCTACTTGGGTATTAGACAAGTGAAGAAAACCCGGAAAATTTTACGTGACTACTGGTGAGGCGAAATCAATATTTGATGGTCGGATGCCCGAACAGTTAAGGTGGCAGTCAACTGTTCTGGACGACCCGGGATCGACTCCGGACGAATCGAAAAAACCACACGAATTTTTCGGGATTGGTTCATCCGGATATATGCACCGTCCCTCAGCATCTGGCCGCTCCATTATGAGCCTCAGAATGGCTTGCTACAGAAGGCCCTCTTAGAGCCCACGAAGTGGAAGGAATTTTAAAAACGTATTCAGTGGTTTTATTCACTTTGCCATTGGTGGGTAATTTTTTTTTTGCTTTTGTGATAAAAAATTTCTTAGAAATAATGAAAAACCGAATTGAATTTGAGTCCAAAAGTGAAGAGAAAGAATATGCGCAAGAAGTGTGCTGATAGTTGTTTAAACTTTAGATTCGTGTGCATTACAATAACATCTGCGTTGTATTGTCAGCTTCAAATATGCTTTCAAATAAACTAGAATGTCATTTACATTATTTAGGGAGACGCATGAAATTTCTTAGTTCAAGGAAAGTTGCAACAAGAAAAGTTTGAGAAAACCTGATCTGTATAAAGATTTTTAAAAATTCCGTTACTATTTCTGAAGTTTCTAAGTTTTTAATTTAATTACATAATGTTTTCTAGATATTGTAGTCAATTTATAAATTAATTTTTCATTTTAATTCTGTATTTTATATCAATCTAACGATCGTTTACGGTTATGACTTTTCCTATGAGTGATCCAAAATCGAGTGTGATTAATAATCTCTCGCGGAATTTTGAGTCTAGTAGATAATTTGGATCAGTTTTGTTCTTCATCCCTCACTCATATGGGCCAATATCATTGTTCATTTATTATGAAAATATAACAGTATGAAAGCTGATATGCATAAACAAATAAAGATTTCCAAAAGTTTTCTCAGACTTATTAAAAAATTATTCGGTTGTTTTATCGAAAAGAAAAATCGAAAAATAAAATGGCATTACTTTACGCACTGAAGATCTAGAAAGCTCGATCTATATCATAATGGATAAAGATTCGAATCCATCTGAATCGTCGTAGGTTTCTCACGAATATTTCAAACCAAACCATAGTTCTCAACGTTTTACTCATTGTGATCAACCACTACGGAAATTTTTAAACTCCGCCCTCTTTCCTTTCTAAAAACAGGGCTGTTTTAGCAAGTCCATCATCACTTCGGCTAGACCCACAACGGGGCGGTTGGGTGATGAGGGACAGAATCCGACTTATCCAGAAAGACCACTCCCCAAAAAATTTCTAGCTTTTTCGACCCATCCAGAGTCGATCCCAGATGGAAGAGCGGTGGCTACCACCTTAATCGCTTGGTTAAGGTGGCCCCATTATACATTAAGATGCCAATATGAGAAAAAGTGAAACCTGCTATATTAGTTCATTGTAGAGGGCTGAGATGGCTGAGATGGTTAAAGCGTCAACCCGCCTCTCTGAGAACCCAGCTTTGAGTTAGTGTTAAGAAGATCAAAAGTCCAAAACCTCTTGATCTCAAGGTGGTAGGGCAGCACGTCCCTATCACTTTCAGATACAATAGAACTATCACTATCCTCCGTTATATATCTCATCGAATCAAGCTAGGCAAAGAAAAGGTTTTTTAGCGCCCACAGAGCGAGGTTTAAAAAATAACTTTTATATTATTATTCATAATAAATAAAATTATGTGTGTCGCCATCTTTCATGAAATTTTGTTATAACAAATTTTTTATATTATTAATTATTATAAAATGGTAAAAAGTTGAATTTTCAGGGTAGCGATGAGTTTTATAAGAAATTTGTAAATGCTAATAACAAGTAAAATCTACATTAAATTCAATTCCTCTCGAGATATGACACACGAACCATTTCGTGTGTCATATCTCTTCATTCCTTCGACCTTTAACCATCGAAATTTAATAGTGTCAATGCTCCTTATACACAAGCCACACAATATACAAAAGGTTTGCATAAACCCGGAGGAACAAATTTGACACGATTCCAACAAAGTATTGGAATCGTGTCAAATTTCTCTTGTTACGCGTACACAACAGTCGGGAAAGTAAAAGGCAGAAAATCAAATAAAAGTGAACATAAACAAATTTAATTATAATTGTTTAGGATATTAAAACGATCATGCAAAAGAAAATATTGCTTTGTTGTATACTCCAAAGATGTTTCGGGATCCCACTGACGGAAATCGTATTGCATTTTCAATGTCACTGTTCAAATATCTTATTTATAATAAAGAAACCTTCCTGCCGTAAATTAAAAGCTAAGAAATCATTACACATCATTAATCTCTTACACAGAGATGAGTATCCAATGAATGTTAGCATTCATTCGACACTCAAAACTCTCCCATTTCTTTTTATTCTACAGTCGATTCCCTATAACACTGTTGATTATTCCGTTTTATATGAATTCCATGTTGTACGAGTCGCTTAGATTTTACAAATACGTGAGCCGTTCACAGCCCGGCACACGTATTTGTAAAATCTAAGTGACTCGTACAACATGGAATTCATATAAAACGGAATAATTAACAGTGTTATGGGGGGCGACTGTACTGCCTATCAAGACGAAACCACTTTCTAAATCTAAAAATTGAGTACATCACACAAGAAAGTGTGGGGTTTAGTGGAGATTTGAGAAGGCACCTCTCCCCTCCAATGATGGCAAATTCCACTGAATTGTTGGCAAAGTCATGCCATCAAAAGAAAATTTATTATTATTATTATTGCAGTTCTGTTAAGTGAAATATATAAGTATAAAGAAGTGGCATGAGGGATGGGCGATTTCGGCAGGTGACCCAACCTTTCTATAAGCTATCATCATAGCTTATAGGCTCGACAAAATCGGCCTCAACGCTCCCTCAATGACAATACAAATATCAACGATGAGATCCTAGAATGATCCTGGGTAAAAAAAAGTAAACGGTTCTGATTTATCCCTGAAGCAATCTACCATTGCTTTTTTTGGATCAGAAAAGTGGTTTCATCTCTTAATTAATACGAAATCCGAAAGTCAGAGAAGTGAAACCAAGAGAAATGCCATATACATCAACGTTATGACTCCAGAATGTTTGAAGAATAGAAAATCGGTTTATTTATTTATCAACCTTTCAATGTGTTAGGATAATAATTTAGTAATTTTGTTTATGTTTATTTTTGTTTTCTTTCTTTTTTATAGAGTATAGTACATGAAAACTCGCTTTTAAAGCGAATGCACTGGCACGTGACGCTCAAGGTCATTTGAAAGTTAAATGGAAATTGCGTTACTTTCACGCTGCCTATTCTTAATATATTTTAATTTCTTTCCTAAAAAATAATTGATATTATTATTTAACGTATTGAAATAAGAGTTAGGTTTAACGTTTTATAATACAGTAATAGAAAAAATTTATTAAATATAATATTTCATATGATTTGATGTAAATCAAATCTATCTGTTCGGTAATTATCTTTTCACACACTAGATGGCGTTATATATTTTGTTTAAAATTTTTAATTTTAAATTAATAATGTAAATATTTTTGTTTTTATAATAAAATGTATAATTGGATATTACATACTTTTTTCATTTTAGAAGAATATCATTTTAGAAAAATATTTTTATCAATGTTTGTTAAAATTAATTTAATTTCCAAAAATTTAGATTTTAAAGTATTTATAGGATATATAGACCGAACAGCATATTATTTAGCGCAAATAATTAAACAGAAAAATTATGAATAATATTTGTCCTAAATTTTTCTATTTCTATGTTCGACAACAGATGGCGATCCGATCGACAGGTTAAATTAATTTAATACGGTATATTCGTGTGTATACGTTATGTAATAAAGGATTTATAAAAATATTTGGCTATTGTTGGGCACTTTGTATACAAATAAATTATCAACAGAAATATAATCTCTACTCATTAACATGAAATCCTCTTTTCTTAGTCGCCATATTTGATAAGGTGATTTAATGTTTTACTACTTCTTGTTAGCTGAGTTATAAGCAAAAAACTATTTCATTGACTCTCGTTCATACTTTATTTACAATGAAAGCTTATACGATAGCCGGATGGTCGAGTGATTTTAAGGGCAGTACGACCTGGAAAACCCGGAAGGGTCGAAAATCATAGGAATTTTTTGGGGTTAGTTCGTAGGCCCTGTCCACGCGTCACCCCCATTGTAAACTTGGCCAAACTCGTAACAAAATTGCTAAAAAGGTCCTCTTATCGCCCACGGGGCAGAGTTTAATGAAATTTTATGAGAAAGTAGAGAGGTTGAGGCGCACGTTTTAAACGTGTAAACGTGTACGTGTGACGTTCGGCGCCGCTTTCCCGTAAGCCTAAAAGTTTGACAATGGTGTTTGGATAGTCGGTGGAATCACGCTCGACATTCCAAACACCATCGTCAAACTTTTAGGCTTACGGGAAAGCGGCGCCGAACGTCACACGTACACGTTTACATGTTTAAAACGTGCGCCTCAACCTCTCTAGTATATCTAAATTTATTAAGAAAACTTGTTCATTTAAGCTCAGTTTAATAGTTAATAATATATCTGAGACTTATCCCAACATTTTTATTATTATTATTTTCAGATTTTTAAAATTTTAACTTCAGCAATCTGCAAGTCTGTGTATATTTAAAGATATATATATATATATATATGAATTAAAAATTGCCATCTTTGTCCACTAGAGGGCTAAGTTAGCAGAAGCACACATGGATCGTGTCGGTAATTTGTTGAAGTATGCAGCGATTACCGGCATCGCATGTTCAGCCGGAGGATTATACATACAAAGTAAAATACGCGATAACATGAAGAAAGGCAATTACTATTCGGACTCGTTAAAGTTGCTCCGACAACATACCGGTGCCGTCGATTTGCTAGGACAACCTATAAAAGCCGGAAAGATGGATTTAGGAGACGAAGAAAATTACTTAGATGGACTGAAAACTACTTTAAAAGTGCCAGTGAAAGGTCCCAAAGAGAAAGGACATTTATTCATTTGGGCCGACAGGCAAAAACCGGGAGATATTTGGACCGTACAGCGTTTGGAATTATCTCTCAACAAAATTGCAGACAGTCGCCTTCTCATTTTCGATAAATCAAGAGAGGAGGATGTAAAGAAACAAGAGGAAGAATGTATATATTGCAAATAGAAAATACAAACTATTTATTAAGAAAGTTAGGAGAGTTTTAGTGGGAATAAAATTTAATTTTTATGAAAATTAAAATTGCTGTAAACTGTTCATTTTGTTTGGAAATTTACTGCTGTGGTTTTATGACTTCAAATACCCAAAGTTGCAGACTTTGTACTGATGTAAGAATTATTACTAGATTTAATATTTCTGTATATATACTGTACTTGGACCTTGACAGGACTTATTATAATGGTGTAGTTTCCAATTAGCAAAGAGAGTAGATCTTATTTGATGGTAGAAACAAAATATCTATTTTCACCCATACGCGCTGTGTTTCAGACCCGAAGGCCCCGCTCGGCAGGTTTACGACATTATTTCCTTTATTGTCTAATATTAATATGATGCCAATACTGACAGTATTCGATGGATACTTTGTCGGTATTGATGTTGTATTAATATGAAACAATAAGATCCAAGTAGACAGTATATACACATAAATGTAAAACAGTAAGGACATAGATGTAAAAAGAATTACTATTACTAGACATTTTAAATATGAACAAATATGTTACATTGAATCTTAACTTCATCTTTATAGTAGGGCAGTCTACCATGAATTTCTGAGTCCGAATCTAAATTGGAAAGTAATTATATCCAGATCATAATTTATTGTTGCTCTGATATGTTTGGAAGAATATTTTCCATTGCTCGCCTCAATGACCGATCCTACCGTGAGTTAAGTCTGCCCTTAATAGACCAAATTATGGTCACATTATAGCATTTGTGCACTATTGCCTTACAATGCTCATTTTAAAATTCTTGTTTGAAGTGTGATTTGTTTTATAAACATTTTTATTCCAATATAGATTGCATGGGAATTAAATTTTAGATATCAAAAAATATTTTTTTAAACATTTTTTGCCAAATTTGGAATTGCCATCTTATTGATATATCTAATTTCTCATTTTATATTGGACTTGATTTGGCTCTTAAGAGGAACAAATGCACAAATTCAGAATTTCGTTTACACACAAACAATAAGTTTGATTATTTCATTAGAATATAACTATGGAAACAACTGCTTGAGAAATTAAAATTGTTCAATGTGCTCTGAAATTATTTTCTGATATCAATATTTCAACTGTAATTTCACTTTATTTTTAAACAAAAGATACATACCTGGCAATGTCTGACAGGACAAATATGCCAGTCCCCACATTAACAATGAGGAAATACCCAATTAAAAACTAAAAAATTGGCAATAAAGAAACACATAGGTATACATTTAAAAAGAAAGATATATAAACTATACAACATAAAATCTAAATACAAATGTAAAAAAATCATTACAAATTTAAATAACAGATTTTCAACATTTTTAATTGAATTTATAAAAGAAAATCTTGTGAAATATCACGTCTAAAATGGGAGGATATAAAAGCAAAAATAATTACAAGAAATAAAATTAAATATGCATAAAGTGAATATATGTAGGGGAAAGAATTTTAACACAAATTTTTTAATGGATTACTATCATCATAAGTAACTCAAAACTTGTTTGGGCCCCTACATGCAATATCAGGAGAATCGGTAAAAGATAGGTTGACTAGTTTGTTCAACAGAAAATATGTTTTAGAAATTTCTTTAATTATTTTGTATTTGAAGCAGTAGTCCATACAAGTAGACAACAGTTGATAATCGTTTGAAAATTTGTAAAAAAACAATGATGCATAGGCATGTTTGGATGAATTGCATTGATAGTTTCTCCATGGTATTCTTCTTCTATACATTGCCAATCTCTATTATTTTATTATGAGGTATAAAGATAAGTTCAATTATGATACCTAAGTCATTAACTGGATTAACAAGAGTTTGTAAAGTCAAGTTGGGATATTATCAAGGCAAAATACTGGTTACTGTCTTATTTACATTCTGGAAGGTTATCTAGATATTTTATATGTTCAGGTTATTATTTATAATTTTTATCATTGGTGTATGCTATTATTAGAGATGAAAACTGATTTAAAGTGTTGTTGAGGTATGATATGAAAAATATGTAGCTTACGACTGAACCTTGTTGAATTCCTACTGGCATAAAGGATGTAGTCTTAAAAGGACTAATAATTGCTTTTTATTTCATAAGTAAATAATATCAATAGATAATATTTATTTAACCATGAAGTTATATTGGGTCCAGGTCAAAATTATTGTTTAGGATGTGCAAAAGCTCTTGTGGTAGAATAGAATCATAACCTTGAGATATATCTAGATAACTGTATATGTGAGTACTTTTTCTCAAAATTATTTATAATTTTGTGTTTGTATTTAGTAGGTTAGTAACTGTAGTATGATGGGATAGGCCACAGTGCTAATTATTGGTTATTTCAATACCTATTTGATTGTATATGCATATTTTGAATATTTTTATTATATTAACATACTGGATGATAAGAAATATATAATCTTATGAAAATAACAAAAATAATGTAAATTTGGATTGTAAGTTTAAATTTTCTGTCTTATTAAAATAATAAAATTAACAGGAAGCTTTCTTATTAAATATCAATATTGTGAATAAAATGAAACCTGTAGACATGCATTTGTTTAAAAAAGTATTTATTTATATGAATTAAGTATAATACAAAATTAAGATATTAACATTTTTGAAAAATAATAAATAAATAATTTGTTAAATATTTAATTACATCAAACAGATTTTAATAGAATAATTACTCAATTTTATGGATACAAGATTCCAAACAGCAATAATTTTTTCATTTCTGTTCTGTGAAAATTTAAGTCATGCAAACCACAATACTTTTATTTCCTTAATTACTTATTATTTTACTCTACAATATGAAAATCAGTATTGATGCAAATGGCAATGCACATGTCAAAATATGATATTTTACTACATCAGTTTATCCGAATAGTTTTGCATCAATTTACTTCAATTTTTAAGTTTTTCTGGCTATTTTAGAATATCATTTGACTATAATTTAAAAAAAAAAAAAAATAGTATTCATGTGTAAAGTACAATTAAAATAATATATAATAGTATAACTCGCTAATAAAAATCCAAGTGAATTAGTGCAATTTATTGTTTTGTAGTTTTAAATTTTGTGTTTATGTAATTTATAGCAAACTACAACTTAAAAAAAGTCAAATATATTAATAGAAAATGTAAAATTTGTCTTTTAGTTTTATCTCTCTTCTTTATGTTTGACTTGCCATAATTCTAAGGCTTTATTAGCTACCACATCTGCTGTATCATCAGGAACCTAATTTATAAGAGTAAAAAATCTTAAATAAATTTATTTTTTACTTTATTGTTCATTATATTGAAAAAATTTTATTACAAGACTTATTGCCAAAAATTTACCTATATCCCATTGTATGAGAAACCAATTTGAGCTATACATTTATTCCAATAGTTAATGGAAAGATGTAAGTGATAGTAAAAAAGTTTTCTGGTTTATAATAGTGATAGAAAACTATGGGGTGTGGCATGAACATAATTCACACCTGAATCCCAAATATCTCAACCAGATGAAAAAGATAAGTTTTAAAAATTTCCTTATAGGCCATGTACATGGTAACCTATTGACATATATCCAGGGTGGCCAAGCTCCTTGATAGTCCGAGCCATTTTTCAAAATTTGAAATTTTTCGCGAGCCGCAATTAAATACGTATTAAAAAGGTATGCAAAAAATTCCAGATTACAAATTATATCCGTAGCAAGAGTGATACAAATTGTTTCCTCCAGAGCACAATGCAATGTCAACTGTCTGTTGCAATGACAGTTTACAAATTCAAAATCGGTCGATAACAGATGATTACGCCACTGTTTATGTTCGTTCGCGCAGTTTTCGATGAGTCATATCATTGTTAACTTGGATGGAAATTAAATTTGTTACAACGTTGCACTTAGTCTTTCATATTTGTTGTTAGTAATTTAAAAGACATTTTGAAACACACACGGAACGATAATAATTTTTTAAAATATAATAACACAAAAATGAAAAGGAAACTCTGGTACATCTATCGAGAGCCACAAATAATCCTTCAAAGAGCCGCATGTGGCTCGCGAGCCGCAGGTTGGCCACCCCTGACATATATCATATATGCAGACGGACCAGTAGGTTTGTGTATTGTACTGTTAAGTTTGAATGATCTTCCCGACATAATAAGCACTCCTCATGTGAAATTTCACTATGGTACGTAGTACATATTCCATCATCTACTAACTAATCTAAGTTTACTTACATTATCAATGTCTTACTTTTTTGAAAATTTGGAAATGATCATTCTGTACTCTAAAACTTCAAAATTAACAAAGTATGTTTTCTTATATTCTTCAAATTAAAATAAATATTTAAATAGCAAAGTGATAAACATCATTTTTTCGTCATTCTATTTCTTTCATCAGGTCCTTTTCTAATAAGTCTATATTAAGAAAAATTTGAGAACCCAATACTATGAGGGGAAATCAAAAAAGAATACCTCTAAATTTTTTATATACAGGGGTTGTGTTTATTTGAAATAAGTGAATATGCAAAATGAAGTATGCTTAGTGATCTATATCCCCACATTGGAACCATATTGATTCAAGCATTTATCCCAGCACATGATGAGGTTAAACATTCCTGATACCATGTTTCCCCGAAAATAAGACAATGTCTTATATTAATTTTTGCCCTCAAAGATGCACTATGTTTTATTTTCAGGGGATGTCTTATTTTTCTATAAAGAAGAATTCACATTTATTGTTGAACAAAAAAATTCCCAAGTTTAACTTAAACGAGAGTGACGTATATCCGGTCGTGTTGAACTGAACTTACGAAGTTTCCGTGCTGGAGTGGACTTCCCACTCTCGCTTCATCTTAACCTTCTCATAGCGTCGACATCGGGCTCGATGACCAATTAGTGCTTACTGAACCGTAGCACTATGCAAATGTGATGGGGTGTGATTCCCGGCCGACCAATTAGCGATCACCAGCCGTAACGTTATGCAAATCTGTGATTTCCAAGCCATAGTGTTATGCAAATCATGCTGCGTAGCGTGATTGTCTGCTGACCAATCAGTAGCTGTACTTTCAAAAAGCCAACGGCCACTTTCAACCATCTGTCGATGACCGTTATGACTAAAAAAACTTCGCTAGATCTTACTTTCAGGGGAGGTCTTATATTTCACAATTCAGCAAAACCCGTGCTAGGTCTTATTTTCTGAGGATGTCTTATTTTCGGGGAAACACAGTATGTAATGCTGTTTCTTACAAATAGAGACAGTTTTGAACTGATTTTCGACATAATCATCATCTAATTTGAATCTCTTTCCAACCAGAAATTTCTTCAGAGAACCAAATGATGACACTTTCAATGAATTAGTTCCCTTCTTGGTGATATCATTCCAAATAGTCCAAGCAAGTCATTGCCCTGATGGAAGTTTCCATTTTCATCAGTTGTCTAGGTATTCAGCAATCACTGATCTGTACCTAAGCTTTCCATGCACAGTGTCATATGCCAGACCAAAGAAAATGTCAAAGTGTTTGGATAGAATCTTCAGGTGATTATGGCAGTTTTTCTTAATGCTTCTTCCACCAACTTTTTCTAGAGTAGTGGTGTTTAATGGTTGCCCAGGACATAGTTCATTCACAGATTGGTGATCTTGTGCAAACATTTCCATTTTCTACAGAGTCCAGACAATCCTGAACACATTTTGACTATTTCAGCATGAATGTCTGACAATTTCTTACCCATTACCCACAGAAAAAGAATCACATCCTCTACTTTTGAAGTGTAGACAAATTTAGCATTGACACTTTTGAACAACTGCTGCTATCTCATGTCCAGGTTGGACACCTGGACATGAGATAGCAGCAGTTGTTCAAAAGTGTAATATCACTGTTACAATATTCTTGCTTCAGGTCATTTACTTTTTAACCAAGAACAGCACATACAAATTATTATTAGTAAAGAAGTGTTACTTTGTGATTTCCCTCATAGATTCAATTATATTCACTTTATCTTGTAATTCTGCTTTCACCAGCTGATACATATTTTGTTTTATTTCATACTTCATTGACTAGAAACTCTGGTAAGCATTGCTCACTGAAATAAAATTAATTTAGCTCACTGGAAGTTTGGTTCTTTCTGAAATATTCAGCTTATAATTTATCATCAGTTTGGTCATTGCTTAATGCAGGAAATACCAAAGCTACAAATGTTCATTATATAGAAGTCAACATCAACTAATTTAATAATATAAGGCCCAAAATTCATGAACAATACTAAAATGTTTATTTCAGGCAGCCAAATGTTTAATTTAAAAAGAAGAAACATTTTCATCCTTCTTTAGGGCAGCTTTGCCTTCCCAAATGAATATTACAAATATAAAAAAACCATTGATTTTTTAACATAAATTTGAATGTTATACAGTTTTTTTTTATAATATATTCATTTAGGAAGATGAAGAAACGATTTTTGTCCTAAAGGACAAAANCAAAGCTTTTTGCCATTTTATAATAATTAATAATATGAGATTTTATTTTTAAAATTAAAAATATAATAGATGGCGTCACAAATATAGTTTTAAATGTCGCCGGAAAAGTTAAGCAACTCGAGCTTACTGAGTTATGAATTCTTATTGAGGGTCTTAAATACAGTTTCACTTACGTTTTCCTGTTCCTCAAAAAGCAAAAAAGTGCATTTTTATGTAAGTCGAAGCAAATGTGGCTGAACACTGTGCTATCAAGATTACCAAAGCTAGTGCCTAAACACATATTTTATCTCAACACTGCAGGTGACTTTTCGCAACCTTCTCATAATTTTACTTGGAATTAACCAAAAAACTTTGGATTAAAGAGGCATTTTTTACAGTACTTCTATAGGAAATTCAAGAGTCCGGAAAAATATTCGAAGTAACCACAAATTCGAATTATCCAAGTTCTATTGTATTTCATTTTAACAAGTAGTTGAGCCACATTTATGACATTGCAGTACAAGTAAAAACATGGTATTATACTGTATTCATGCCGTATACTGCATTAGTTTTATCTATTGATTCGCTTGAACATTGAATTTATATCGTATCTAAAAACTGTTTGATTTCACAATTTATTACATATTTATTTATGACTACTCCTCAAACGGACATAGCAAAAGGAAAGAGAATAAATGTAAGTTATAACGGTACTATATAACCATCGTTCATTAGTATTAATCTGTAAAGATGTCCCCTTTAAGCCAGTGAAGCAGAGGCACAAGTTATAGTGTTTATGAGCAATAATTTGAGTCAGTTTGAACAGCAGTTGATTGTTCAAACTGCTGATCAAATTGAGTCACTGCTCGGAGGGGGTAGGACCCCAGAGGAAACTATGAGTTCTTGTGCCATGTCAATAAATAAAATGCAGTATTTAAAAATATTTACGAGATTTAGTTTTACAAGAGCTTTTTAGGAAAGATATACTCCCGCAAATCGGGGTTATACTATAACTTGAAGAAATGGTTACATCTGGATATCTTTTTTCATCATTTGAAATTTCTATGAAATAATAATGTTTTCAATAATGTGGTAAAAATCGAGTAAGAACTTAAATAGGATTGAATCGATGAAATAAGGCAAGTCAAGATTTGCGCGATCTGTCAAGACGGATGCCCTCAGAAAAACTTTCAATGGTAAACTGGCCACTATTTAGGTCACGTAAATTAAACCCGGAAAACCCTACCTAACCGTTTTCATTGTGGGCCTAGCCGAATCTACGATAAGAGTGGAAAAAGCCTTCTTTTTCCATAGCGGAAAGAATCTAAAATGGAAAATACCCGATTGATTTTCTTTGCTTTACATATTGAAGTCATAATATCTCAATTTGCTAAGTGTAAATATGAGGATTAAATGTGCACGAACTTTTCTAGACAATATACACTGTATATTGTCTAGAGTTCATTTTGGTTTGGAAGTTTTTTGATATTGTTGGAAGAAAGCAACGCAACACTTGACAAGATATGTGTAAGACATATCTTGGCAAGTGTTTTCGGGAAAGTGGTTTCTACTTGGGTATTAGACAAGTGAAGAAAACCCGGAAAATTTTACGTGACTACTGGTGAGGCGAAATCAATATTTGATGGTCGGATGCCCGAACAGTTAAGGTGGCAGTCAACTGTTCTGGACGACCCGGGATCGACTCCGGACGAATCGAAAAAACCACACGAATTTTTCGGGATTGGTTCATCCGGATATATGCACCGTCCCTCAGCATCTGGCCGCTCCATTATGAGCCT